ACTCATGTAAATAACTTGTATAGGAAATTGTGTTCTTTTCTCATGTGTCCTTTTCTCTGTGCAAATTCTTTCCTTCTCCATTACTCAGAGGACAAGTAGGGATGAAAAGAATAAATCAGAATTATCATTCTTGCAAAATAATAGGCTGGAAAAGCATTGTCTCTCAGTAATTTCCAGAGACAGAACGTTGTAGTGTAAGAAATTGGATGGGAACCATAACAACTTTCAATTACAGGAGCCTTGGTATTTTTGGCTAGAATGAGAGGACAAATGATGAATTCGAGAGATGCAGATCCCAAAGCATGACCGTTTGTGCTGCAACTTTGCACCTGTTAGAACTAAGGGAGAACAATATTCTGCTAATAAGGACAACAGAAGTTGCCACAGCTAGAACAGATTTCACATGATCCTCAGTAGTATAATGGCAGTTTTAAACTCCCTCCAAAGGCAGCTGCGTCTACAGCTAGGCCAGTGACTACCTGAGGCAGCAGATGATACAAAGCTGGGAAGTTGTTTCCGAGAACTGCTAGTGCTAGTACCTTGTGCTGGCCTTGGCTGGGATAGAGTTAATTTTCTTCATAGTAGCCAGTATGGGGCTGTGCTTTGGATTTGTGCTGAGAATAACACTGATAACATACTGATGTTTTAGTCGTTGCCAAGCAATGCTTACATTAAGCCAAGGACTTTTCCAGCTTCTCACACTGCCCCTGCCCTCCCAGCTGCTTCTCCACAAGAAGCAGGGAACGGACACAGCCAGGACAGCTGACCCAAAGTGGCCAAAGGCATATTCTATACTGTAAGGCACCATGCTCAGTATAGAAGCAAGGGGCGGTTGGCCAGGGGCAGCAACTGCTGCTTGGGGATGGGCTGGTGTCAGTTGGTGGGTGGCAAGCGGTTGCATCACTTGTTTTTCTTTGGTTTTGTCTCTCTTTCATTTTCCTTTTCATTACAATTTAGTAGTAGTATTTTATTTTATTTCAATCATTAAACTGCTCTTATCTCAATCCACAACTTCTTTTACCTTTTTTGTCCAATTCTTTCCCCCATCCCATGGGGCTAGGGAGGAGCAAGCGGCTGCATGGTGCTTAGTTGCCGGCTAGGGCTAAACCATTACATACATGATGGACAGTGGATGGCTTAGGACAATAATCAGCTAATTTTGGAGCCCTAAGCAAGACACTTAAAAAATTTTGACATGGCCATGGGCATTACTGTTTATGCTGCACCAGCATTTGGAGACTAGAACTGCTTTAACCTGGAAAAAAAAAAAAAAAAAAAAAAAAAAAGGCAGTTGTTGCTCCACCAAACATCTCCAAGTCCTGACCTGATGCAGTTTGTCCAGATGAAAGAATGACAATACTTGAGTTTAGTTCTTAATGTTTTAAGTACCAGTGAGGCTAAGGAATAAATATCAGCAGTCTACACTTCTCTTCCCCCTTTGCTTTAGTCACCAGTTGTCTCAACCCAGAGAAGAAGAGATACAGATAATATCCAGAAGAGATAATAACCTGGAAGTTTCTGCAGATTTAGTGGAGGTTTCTAAGCTTGCTCTCAAATCTGAGTGCCTTCTGGACCAAGAATAATTTTTCTTGGGTCATAACCCCCCCCCTCCCCCATCTCATAAAGACACTCTTGAAAATCCAGTTTATTATATGTACTGCCCAAAAAAACCTGTCAGTTTATTTTGGAAACATTAAATATACATTCTAACCATAGCCTAGGTTTCCACAGGAAGAAATGAAAACATCTAATATGAGTCTAACTTCAGTAAAAATGACTGTTTAGCAGAAAGTGTTATTGGCAACTGATGCAGACATGATACTAGATATGACAGATCATTGTTTGCACCTGAATGATTGTTTCTCATGGCTCTTAGTCCTACAAATGTATCACCGTTTGGAATGCCAAAATGAACTAAAAAGGATGCGTTCACAATGAATTTTGAAATCTTTACTGACGATGATTCCACTGTTATGTTTCCTTGTGCTAGAGCTGTGCCAGAGACAAGTATGAAAACATGAAGTGTCAGAACACAGGTCCTGTCTGTACTTATCTTGTATCCAGACTCACAGCTAATTTCACAGTGTACATTGAAAATACTTCAGAATTTTTTATTCTTGTCCTTCTAGCCTCATATCCTATCTTTGCCAGTGCCCAGCACAGGATGCTTAAGGAAGAGTACGAGATTCTTTCCATAGTTTGTTCTTACAGAATTTGTTAATCACCATCCCCCAGATGCACTGCAAGAAGTAATGCGAAAACAGCCGTACTGAGCCAGAACAGAAGATGCAGCTTTTGACACGCACCAGTAATGACCACAGACGCAAGTACGCTGGTGGGCAAGGATATAGTGTGTCACCTGTTGGTCTTCAGCATCCAGCAGTACCAGATCTGTTATCTTTATACCCAAATAATCTGTGACCGTTTTTCATCTTAAGTTTTAGAATCCAGCGTGTCTGCTAGCAAGGAACTCTGCAGTTTGGCAAGCAGTCTGTAAAGCATTTTCTTCCACTTTGTATGTCCTGTTCCTTGCATAGAAGGGGCAGCGAGCAACTTCCAAATCCTTCATTGTTGTGGTGTTTATGAACAGCATAGTGTGTTTATCAGGCACAGGTGGGCTGTTGCCAGGAAGTAAGGATAAGCTGCCATTTTGCATTTTTATGAGAATAAATCAATTAGCCAAAATCAGTTTTCAAACCCTACATACCTTGAAACTGCAAAGAAACATCCCATCACAGAAAGTCTGATACATGCATGAGAGAGAAAGGAATTTAAAAAAAGGAGCATCCCTAAGTTAAGTATTAGGAAGATGCAGGATCTCCAGCTCACCAGGAGCTTAGGTGACAAGCTTACTCCCACCACACAAAACATCTGCTTAAACACTATTTTTAGCTCAGAACATGATCTCTGTCATGATTGTAACAGTTTCCAAGTTGGAAGGGGGAACTGTACATCTATTCTTTACTCCAAAAGCATAAAGTAAGGTGAACATTTCTGTGAAAGTGATTTGATGGTCTACATGAAGCCACAGAGGCAGAAAAGAAAGTACTGAAGAATTTTAGTTAGATCTCTACATATTCTTTGGATCAGGCTCTTGCCTGCTGAGGCAGAAAAATTACAATATAGATTACTCTCTTTAATAAGTAGGTCACCACAGTTTTTTTTTTCCAAAAAAGGTTAGAACAAGCTTTATTTCAAAATACAAATCAGATTTGCATATAAGGCAAAATATACCCCTATGGTGGTAGGCATATCGGGTCTCCACACAGCATGTGTAGCCACTTGTGCTACAGTAATCCTGAGATACGGAAAAAAGCCCTAAAAACCTTTTTTAAAAAAGGCCAAAATGTCTCCTTTTAATCACTCTTGCTATAATCACCTCCATTTGGGAATTAAGGAAAATATTATACAGTTCTGAGTCAAGAAAACAAATTATCTACAAGCCAAATACCCGAGATACTTGTCTAATTCCCTGCTGTCATCTGGGTATACTAGCAAGAGCACTTGGGGAACAAATCAAGAGATGCAAGTATGCAAGGTTACTTCATTAACACTGCAAAGCAGGTAGAAGAACAGTAAGCTATTTTTGCTACCTTCAACTGCTATTGTCTTCACAAACTGCGCGGTCAGTGTGTCAAGCTTACAGATCCTGTGAACTTATAAAATCTCTACATTGTGTGTTAAGTTACTAAAAAAAAAATTAACTTACTTTGCTTCATTTTACCATGAAGTTATACGTGAAATAGAAATATTTTTTAAAGTTTATAAAAGCAGTAGAGCTGCAGACACTTAAAGTCCTGTCCCTAATATTAAAGACTACTTGAACACCCTCATTTTGCTACAAGATTGTATTTGTCATTAACTGACAGTCTCTTTTTTCAACAAAAAATTAAAGACAGGGAAAAGGTATAGATAGGGTGGGTTTTTTTAGTTTTACAACATATAAAAATAAGTTACACTATATATTATGGCTTTCTTATTTAGTAGAAGAGTGCCATTGTGGATTTAAACACTAGATGTTGAAACTAAATAACTCACCATGTTCTCAGGCTTTGCTTGTTTGAGTTTTGATTGTGTGAAAAGAAACAAGTACGTATTAGTGGGAAAATTAAGAAGCCTCCAAAAAAACCTGAAATAGCAAGAAGCACTTGTAGAAGAAGTATTTGAGAAATTTTTAATTTAATTTTTAAATTAATTTTAAATTGAAGTTTTAATTTAATTTAATTTCTTGGCACAAATAAAAGGCCAAGCCAAACCTCCCATGAACTTCAGCAGAGCCAAGACTTCATACTGAGCTTAATTTCAGAAATGTTTACACACAAGTATGATACTATGGTGCTACTGAAGCAACGATTTCTCTTCAATGTTTGTTATGTTAATTGTACAACTAAGATACTTGTTAGATTTGGTATGCAGCTATCCCAAAAAGCTACAATAATGCTAAACCAACAAGATTCAAAACTACAACACAACTGCTCAATATTAAGTGTTATCCACTACAAATAAGAAAGAAGGGGCAGGGGCTGCAAAAGATGCTTGAGTCAAAGACTGAAAGACTGCATTTACACAAGGCTATGTTATTAACGGCTGAGCATAGTTGCATTTTGAAGTGTAAAGTTGCACTCAAATGGGACAAGCTATGACAATATGACATTCAAATACATGTCAATGAAAAGAATTCTAGTTTCGTAGTTGAAGTTGTAACAAAAATCTCATTATGCAGCCGAAGTAGCATTTGCAACAACAAAGTTCACAGCAGACAAGCACAAATTTCAGACTTACAAATATAGTAAGAAAGATCATGGCACCGAATCTAGGAACACTTTCAAGCTCTAGTTTTACTCAGGATAGAAGAGTTGTCAGTTGAATAAAGTTAACTGAATACTGTCCTTTTCAGCTCCTTATAAACAAATCTCCAAATCATGCAGAAGATGAGCTTTCTCTCTCCCTTTTTTCCCAGAGAAGTGTCTGAAAGGCAAACTAGTGATTGTTTCTGACAGCAGTAAAATAACGAAGCAGATAAAAAAGTAGGTATATCAAAAAATTCTTACAGAAAAAGGCATCCGTCCTGGTTTGATTTTGTTTATAAAAAGGCACTTCACATATTGCTAAAACTCTGATTATGTACTTACCCTTTTAGTTTTTCTGTTAGAAGGATGCATTTCAAGGTGGTTAGCATGAGTATGCAAACATTCTTTATACAGCATTTATCTGTTACAAATTTTATAATTACATATAGTATCTCACACCATTTATTTAGAAAAGACTCATGTTTGAAATAATAGCAGGTCTTCATACAATACTTCAGTCATGATGGATGATCTGTCATAAGCAACCACCGCCTGTAGCGAGTTCATGCTAATAAAATTAGCAGAGTAAATCTCTCAGAAGTGAGTTCTCAGTCTTTTGTTTTCCTCTCGTAGTCTCTCAATTTCAGCTACTAAGCTTTCATTTACAGAATATCTTTCAAGTAAAGCGTGCATTTCATTCTAGAGAAAAGAAAAAAGTCCCAATCAGTAGCTATGAAGTTAATTATTCCAGTTTTATCCTGTCTATTTTCATATCCCTTTTGAAAATTAAAATAACCTAGATAATACTGTTTTTAAAAACTTTTGATAAGAAAAGTAAGATTAGTTTTTTATGCTGACATACAGTATTTTGATCATTAATACATTAGCGAATATTTTATCAAAGGATATTTTGCACTTCTTCAGGATGAGAATCTACTAATGCAGGTTCCATTAAAATGTTCAGTACCGAGACAAGGTCTTTTTAATGCAGATCAAAAGAACAAAGATTCATAAAAAGGTGAAGTTAAAGAACACAGAACACAGTTCAGTATGCATGCAGTACCTATAAGTAAAGCTTTCTATTTGAATTCCATCTACCTCCTTACCCCAGGTCTTGGTCCTTTCCAAAGGACAGTTGAATACGTTTCCCTGTTGTCTTTCTGTAACTCTTGAAATATGGAATTCATTATACGTGGCCAATGCAGATGTTCCCTTTATTTATCAAGCATTTTAACAGATTCCAGTTCATAGTTTCCCCCTCCTTCACAGTCAGTCCTCCCTTTCTTGCTCTTAATAAGCAAAACTGATTTTCAGTTTCAAGAGAAGAAGGTGGCATGCCTTGGTATTACTAAAAATGAAAACTGAATATATTTCCCATCATGCTCTTTGTACATACCAACTGCATATGGAACTGCTTGATCATCTCCACTTGCAAATTCACAATATCTCGATGGCATGCTTCTCTAGGGGAAGAATTGCAAAAGGACAATGCTTAGTTTTATCTAGGAAGCAGCAATTCTCTCCAATTCTCAGCACCCAGAACTCCACACCTCCTCACCTTCATGACATTGTGAAACATGAGTCTAAAAACACTTAAGCCATGTAACGTACTCCTCTACCACTTATTTTCTGGAATACCTTTTTTATTACATTGACTTTCATAAGTACCATTTTTTCAGTGTACAAAAATGATCTTTTCTGTTGAGAAATATAAATATATATGTGGCTATATCAAGATTGCCATTTGCAAGCTGTAAACTTCTCTCATTTTTACCATTCAAAGCTGATTTTCCATCCCTCGATCACAAGTACCACAGAGAAGATATTTATCTGTAACTGAAGATACAGCTTCTCAGTACATTGCTTTCAGCACTCTTGTAAGAGGGCCCAAAACATCAACTGTGATAAATGATACATTATCCTCAAGCCCACAGAATGCTCCAGGTTAATCTACATAAGAAGTAATAGCAGCATTGTCCATGACTTGACAGACATTTGTCACAAGAACCAAGCTTGGAAATACCCAATGAACACTACACTAATACAGTGTTCCAGATGCTGAGGAAGAACAAGGAGAACAGCTCACAAAAAAGGAGGCAAGCTCATGAGTTCTTCCTGAATGGAGTATCACAGTGCAATTGTCCGAGATCGAATACCGTGCTATGGATACCAACAGCCTAAGTAAGGCGTTTCTCAAGTAGATACACAGATTTTACTCCCTTTGGGTTTGCTATATGTTTTAGGAAAGGAGAACGAAATATATTCTTCGCTTTCTATTTCCAAGGGTTATTGTGCTTCAGAACTCCTACTGGAGGCAAACAATTTTCTTTGTGTATATCAAGCATAGATGACAGCTGGCAGCTTAGAAACCCAAAGATGTAGGTTACCTCCCAAAGACAGGAAGTTCAAAAAACAAGCAGCTTTGTGGAGCCAAATGAGTAATGTATTCCTCCTAATCCTCTTCTAAGGTCCTTGTTTTTTCCCCATTACTTGAAAAGGAATGGATTTCAGGCAAGAGCAATAAAAATCCTTTCCTCAGATTCCAGAGGGTGAAAGGTATTTGTATAAATGAGAAGCTTGCAATGGCTCCCTTCTCTCTCACTGACCTCAGTACAAACAATGTTACATTCACTTTGAACAGATCAACAATTTATAACCAGGAAAAAGGCCAGCAGAGCCTTAAAGCTACTTCAGGAAGCGTAGGTCAGAAGAGAAACACAATCTCTGAGGCTCCAGATCTCAGATACTGGAAGTACAAGACTAATACCTTCCAACACTGGGACACCTGAACACAGACTTTAAAGAAAAAACATCTGCAATCCATAGACTGCATTTTAAGTCATATGAGAGTTACTGTTTTTAATCAGATGTGTGATTATCACCAAAAAATCCCAAGGGAGTTTTACTATACTATATTCTTATTTAAAGACATTTAATAACATTCAATGTATTTTTCTGTTGGCAGATACAGAACAGCCCATAGCACAAGGACCTACTAAGCTAGCTTTGCATTGCTTTTTGTCATCAAGATAGCAATACTTCCCCCGAATGGCAATCCTTCTCCCCTCCACCATCTCAGTCCACCTACTTCATCTTCAACATGAATTGGGAAGCGATCCTCTAGATACAACTCTCTCAATTGCTCCATCTCCTTCAAACTCCACTCTAAAGCCATGCTAATTTGACTGACTTCTTTCACAACAAGTGGAATGTTTGTTAGGTATCCACAAACACAAAATAATCTGACACCAACCATCATTTACAGCACAGACATTATTTTAATGCAAAGCTTCACCAGTAGAAATACACACAGTATTTTACCTTATACACGCCAAGCTAGCAACAATCAAAGCCAATACAAATCAACTGTCTAGATCAAGCTCTCCACAATGTCAACTTTAAAAGAAATTTCTCCTGCTGAGACAGGGGATGAGCAGGGATGGAAAGAAATCAGCACAAGGCTTCATGAGAGCAGTAAGGACCTTGTTGTGCAGATAAATTTACCATCTGAGAAGTATTCACTCATTCTGAAAACATGTTAGCAAAGCTATGTATTAACAGTCTTCAGAGACATCAGTCCAATTAGTCATCAGAGCTATTAAAAATAAAGTTTCAGACCTAGATTTCCAAGATTAAGGCTATTAATAGTGTAATTTTCTAATGCAAGTAGAAATTTGTTAAAGCAGATGCTAAAACATCTTACTAAGAAAACACGTCATTGGAAACTAAAACATTCTGCATGAATACCGGTACCTGAAGTCATCCATTGTTTCTTGTATCATATTCTGAATGAAGTTAATTTGGATTGATGTCAGAGGTGCGTTTGGTCTGCTACTCCCAATGGTTTCTACTATTTTTTCTGACAATGAACTTGCAACTCCAGCAGTTACAGGTGATGTTATCTTTGGACCTTTACAATTAAAAAAAAAAATAAATAAATAAAGTTTTTTTAAAAATAAACAACAGTGTAATGGAGTACAAGAGCTTTTTATTTGTCTTAAGGCTTGTCAATATTTTACCTCAAATATTACTTAGTAAAAAAAATAAATTAGATTTAGAATGAGCCTTTTCAGAGGCAGCTAGAGATGTTCTAGGAAGGCTAACTGGATTTACAGAAGAATCAAGATCGGATGTTCTGTTTTACCGCTAAGGCCATTTTATCAGGTTTCACATCAGTTCACAATCAACCACGCCTAAAACTGGGCCAAAGTGATCAACTTACTTGTTGAGGTAGTACCATTTACTGGTAGGTCATATGCAGGATGGGCCTCAATGTTTTTCATTAGTCTCTCATTTGTATCAGGAGCCTTTACAGCAGTGGATGATGGCGGAGGACTTAAAGTTACAGACTCTGTGCTTGATGAGCTCGACTTTGAAAGCTGTCAATAAAAATAAAAATAATAACAATTTAAAAAAGCAGATGAACTCTACAACTATTATCTAATTGCACTTGAAGACTAAGTTTTCAGGAATGCACTTTCAAATATTGTTGGGTTTAGGAATCTACTCATGAATATATGCTTTTCATTTCCTAGCAAAACATCTTAAAAATTGATTGCTAAAACATTCAAAGTTGCCTCAAGTGCACACGCACAGAAAGGAGCGCAAAAGGGGCCTCTTAATTTTCACAACAAACATTTTGTGTCAAAGTTATAAACATCATTCCTAGCAAATTCAGACATCTCAAAAGCAATACAAAAGAAGCTAGGGTCTCTGCAGAAGCATATCAAAAATATCTCAAGAAGGTACAAGAGGGAGATGGAGAATAGGGAAAAGAAGAGGGAGGAATTGACCTAATAAATGACAAACAGACATACTGGTGCAACCAACTTAAATGAACTAATGATCATTCTTGATTTTCTATAAAAATCAAAATATTCCTCAGGCTAGCCCAGTTTTGTTTAATGTGAACTTTTGTAACTTGAGCTTATTTAAGAGAAACATACATTTTTCTTGCATTGCTGAAGGCCAACACACTTAAACTGCACAGCGTTTTACACATTTATGTCAATAGTGTGAACAGAGTTGCAAAACAGATTAGATGGGACATCATTAAGGATTTTTCCCTCAAGTAGTATTCTGTCAAGATTCTAAAAAGACTGCTCATAACAAGAATTATTATAGTATACCTGCTTTAAGACTTCTTTAGATTCTTGTTTTCCAAGATTTATTTTCTTATTATCAGTTTCTGAATGTTCTTCTTCTTTAATTGGAGATCCCACAAGTGCATGTAATGGACTGGACCTTATCCCATGTGCACTACTGCCCACTGGGTTTCTTTTTGCTTGTAAGGCAGTGGTGACCTGTGGGAGAAAATCCAAACCCAAAAGGTAGGACTGAACATCCAGACCTAAAATGAAAAGGGAAGGGTGAAACACACAGGTCAAAAAACAAACACACACACCAAATCAAGCCCACAATCAAAACGCCTGCACACCCACACAAAACAAATAAACAAACAATCACCCAAAAATGAACCCCACAAAAACTAAATCTGTAATTCCAACTTGGGCTGTCACTGTCCTTATGAAAGTAACAAAGCATTAAAAGCCTCTATATATCACTATAAATTGCATAAAGGAAAAACCAAATCACTTTAGGACCATACTCTTGATTTCCTATTACCATGTTGTGCCTTAGCACCTCAACGCATTAGATAATTTCCAGAAAAGTTGATTTGTTTCAGTGTCTGCTTTCATCATTTGTTTATTTTCAATGGTACGACAAAATTAGCACGTAGGAACTAGCATAGGCCTCCAAAGGCCTACCACTGATAAAGAAAAATATACTGAAAGTATGTTTACCATCTCCTTTTCCTTGAGGATCTTCATCCAGTTTATTTGCAATAGTATCTACAAAGTACCAGAACACAGACAAATTAAGTGGTTATTAAATGAAACCTACATCAATATGCATATAATTGCATCAAGTTCATAATCAAAAGCAAATTAAAATACCAAGTAGGTGCAGCGGTTGGTAACACACAAATGTCAAAATGTCATGCTATATGCAGATGAGTGATGCTTCACAAATTTCAGTATTTGCAACTTACCATCTCTGACTGGAGAAAACATATCTCCTAAACTACTTCGGCTCAAATTGTCAAAATTACGTAAATCAGCGCTTTTGCCATGATCTGTTTCTTTAGATGGAATCACATCCAAGCTGCAACTATGGGGAAAGCCTTAAAAGGACAATAACGTTCAATTAGTAATTGATATTTTCCAAAAATAACATACATTATCCCTAAATAATCTCACAGCAACCATGATGCCAGGTAAGTCTAGCAAGTACTTTAGAACCTTCTACAGATTCCAGTTAGAGGGTCAACTTTAACTTCCTCATTTGGGCTGTAATTGCAAGTGAATAAAAATAAAGGTTAAGATACTTATTAACAAAAATAAAACACAGTTCGATTCTTTTCATCTTTTTAAAAAAGAGAGCTGTCAAACTCGAGAATGCACTCATTTCCAGATAAATCTACCTGATGGATGCAGCAAATTTATGGTGTATCAGGTGAAATGAAAACTACTGAATGCATCTTCCCTTAAGAAGGTGTGATTACATTCAGATGATCAAAATTTAAATTTATTCTGCAAGAAGAGAAATCTGCTTCTCTCCAGCCATTAAGCATTTTAAGAGTAATTCTATGAAACATCTATTTTAAAGCTTATCTGATGTTAGGGTATTCTCTGCTTATTTCTAATATTAGGTTTGCAGAGCAGGGTTACAGTTGGAGACAAATGAAACCTGTTCCTAGACCCTTCCCTACTTCACCCTCAAGCCCCATCCCTGACCCAATCAAGGGGAAAGGGGGTAAAAGTTTGCTTTTGTACACATGGTAGCAGGGATAGTTGTCTGCAGAATGGAAGCACATCTTAAGTCTAAAAAAAAAACCCCATAATTATTCAAAGTACAGTTCTTGGATGAAGAATACATGGACAAGATAACTACCTAAATAACTTTCACAATTTAGTATGTTTGAAAACCAAATCAGGACGATAAGTAAGCTGCTATTCTGCCCTCACTGAACCCTAACTCTAAAGTGCCTAGATTTTGCTTGTATAAGTTTAGCTCTATGCAGAGACCATTAGTGCTGTGCAATACATAAATAAATCTCCTATAAATAAATCACCTATACATAAAAAAGCTTTACTTAGTACCTGCTTTAATTAAAAGAAAAAAAAAAACAACAAATCACTGTTCATAAAATCTGTAACTACTTCTCTATGTGGGATTACTTGTTCAAGTGATCCAAATGTGACTGTGCGGATGGCTACAATTAACCATGTCCAAGTATTTACATAAACTGGAACCTGAGTCAGGTTTAAGATTTCACTTTTAAATGTATTAATATAGCTTGTTTTCCGCTCCTTCAGATGCGTCAGGTGTGACACATACATAGGATTGCACTTACTAGTTAAGTAAATACTCAGCATACTGAGTCAAACTAGAAGTGCTGTATCAACCTGTGCCAGAACCTACAGAGGATCTACATGGAAGAAGCATGACATAAAATAGGGCAAAACGTCTTCTGTATGCTTTTACCCATTCCCAGTAATCTAAATGTGGTGAGTACCTAAACCAGAGGATGGCTGTTAAATAGAAGCTCAAGGGAAGCTGGCTTGAAGCCAGCTCAAAGGACATCCAAACTCGTCATCACACTCTGACTTCATTTATACTTTTGTACTGCAGAATACCTGTGACAAAAAGTCCCAGTTCATTTATAAGCTGCATGAGCAGATGTTTTTTTGTTATAAATATGCTATCAGATCACTTCACTGAATGCCCCTTATTTATCTGAAGTTAAACCCCATAATCAAGGTCTAGAAGAGCTCCCACAGAACAAACGCAGTTGTCTCTCATCCATTCCCATTTTTAAGATTAAGGATCGTATCTTCTGAAGCATACAGAGGTCTTTACTTCTAAAGTGAACATTCAGTTTAATGAAAAATATTTGTTTTACTTGGTAGGCCTTCATTTTCTTAAAACATTTATTTATTATGCGTGGTCCTATTTAAGGGGTAACAGCCCTTCTTCAAATAAAGATAATAAATCTTATATTTTAATGGAAATAAAATTTTCCACATCATTCAATAATGTTGATTAGCAACACTTCTTGCATACATAGGAAGCATTCTACTTCACCCTGTACTTCACTGCATACCCAAGGGAGGTCATTAATACACGTCTCTGTGGACTGTGGTGGCTTATTGCCTAATTACTGTTTCTAAATGTATTTCTCCTATTTAAAAAGGGAGGGGAAAAAAAAGTGCTGTTGCATTAAAATGACTTGAGGATTTTTTTCAAGAATCAAACTAACAGTATTAGTGATTTGACCATATTTTCAGAACTCTTAAATAAAATTTCAAGAGTACCTTTCACACAGCCGCAGAATTTTATAATAATGCTCAGAATTCTTATAAAGAACTTGTTAATTTCAGAAGCATAAATAGCAAGTACAGTTATACAAGTAATCACACTTGCAACTATATTTAACATCTTTCCCACCATGTGATATTGGAATCATGCCTCACGCAAAAATACAGTTCAGTTCTCACTTGGGTTTTTGCACTAGTTTTTTTAGTTGTTTATTTTAAGATGAGGTTTGTTGCTCCTATTTATTAATAGAATTGCAAACCATTAGCTCTGCATCCCATACAGACACTGTGTCTGAAGAGACATTATGTACATAAGGATAATCTACAGGAAGTCAGAATGCAAGAGGTAGCCCCACAGTATCACCATAGAGCTCTCTCCTTTGAAGTTTAAACACATACTTTTACTTCAAGTCCAGAATTTTAGACTACATGTGTCTAAAGCTTATAGTAGGACCCAATTCACTTCCCACAGTCTCACAGTACATCTAACAGAGTAGGAGAGGGAGAAGAAGGTGCAGATGTGCATACATGTACACACAGTTCTTTCAAATGCTCTTCCCTCAGTGAAATTTTTATACTGTAATGGTCGAGGCATGAAATATTCCTTCCACCTTCTACATTATGCCAAATATGATTATAAAAGCAGGAAGAAGACACTACCTGTTTTCTCCTGAAGAACCTCTCCTCCCTTACTCTCATTTGGCAATGTCAGATGGGGTGAAACTGTTGCTGATGCTTGAGAGGCAATGTTTTTGATGCCAATATTTTGAATTCCTCCAAGATTACTACCAGCTTTGACTTCTACTCTTTTGGATACAGGCTTATTTGAAGAACCTGTAAGGTTAGACTGAAGAAAAAAAAAGAACAAATTAAGAGAAGTTATTATTCCTTCAGCTAAAAGTAAAAATATATGCCAATATTCTTTCTGTTTCAAAATACTTTAAAAATTCAGTTCAAGGCGCAAAGGTTACCTAGGAGATACGCTTTTACAAATATTAAAAAAAACCCACACGTATCTTAACATATCTTCAAAGAACATGGGAAACATCTGTATTATTATATTAATATTGTGTGGACCTGCAAAAGAATAGCAACAGAACTTGAGGTTACAATGGAGTGACCTCGCATGAGCCAATTTTGATCCAAGGCTTAGGCACAGGAAAAATAAGAGGTTACATTATTAGAGACTCCAAACTGTAAAGAAATTGTCAACCACTAGCAGCAAGCGTGCTGTGAAAAGAGGAAAGTCTCAGAGTGGTAAAGAACCCACTTCAGAGGTTCTCTCCTTCTCCACTGAATGGACACGTGGGGTTTCTGGATAGAGTAGAGCCTAATTAAGTCTTGGAAGAACCTCTTAAGCCTTCTCTACAATTTGATCAACTTCTCCACTGTTTATATGTGCCTGCAAAAGACCATATATAAGACCACGCAAAATACCTCAAGACCGACAGCTGTGTGTCTTCCCTCTAAGTCAAAGGGTCATTACAGACCTTTCTGCTACTGCCTACAAATGAATCTAAGGTGCCACAAACTGATCTGCAATGGCAACGTATTCACACCAGGAAATTTAAGACTAAAGTTTCATTCCTTTCTATACTGAGGTGAGGGGTGAAGGGAATGCCACACTAAAACTCCCTGAAATGGCACTTAAGACTGAGCAGTTTAGAATTTCTTTATTGGTGTGAACCACTTTTGCTGGCATCTATAATGCTTAGAAATTGAATGCTAACATTTCTGTAGAACTTCCACTTATGCTTTGCCTTCATTAATCTGCATATTGAGCAATACAAGGGAAAGTTTTTTTACCTTGGAAAAAGTGCTACTGAACTGAAGACGTATGCATTTCACACAGCCTTTGTGAGCCATAACTGTTTTCACTGGTGATGTCAGTTGTCTTAAGTCATACTGGCAGATTTTTCCCCGGGAACATCCTATAGTCAAAGTAGTACCATCAGGCATGAAGTCCACCGTTGTCAGAGGAAAATCAGCTACTATTGTTGTCAGTAATCTTCAAACAGGAGAAAGGACAGGATAAAGAAACTTCTAGAGTTCAAAAGTTAGACTTTTCAAAACAGAGTACCTTAAAAAAAAAACCCAAAACATAAAAGGTCTCATAATTTTGCTACAAGTCAGTAGTTCCACTTCTCCAGTGCCAAGCAAATTCAGTGAAATATCTTATGTAACAGAGGATTAGGCTTATAGAATCACAGAATACCTCAAGTTGGAAGGGACCCATAAAGATCATCAAGTCTGACTCTGTTCCTCGCAGGAATACCTAAAAACTAAACCATATGACTTAGAGCGTCATCCAGGTGGTCTTTGAACTCTCACAGACTCCAGTATACTGTGTTCACACTTAAGAAATTAAAGACTGCATATGCTCCGAAAGACTTCACCAGGACAGTATCAAACTGCCTTCATAACAGCAGTTCTGACACCTAAATTATTCACTAGTATCATCATTTCCAGCAGCAATCATACTACATACATCCTCTAGCTCCCCAAGCCTATCAACTCTAACCTTCCCACAACTCTAGGAGGAGTTTTGGGTCCTAGTTTGCATCCTTCTACTACACCCCTCCAAAGTAGAGCCAGATCCCCGCTTTTATTCAGCTGGAGTGAAAGCAAAACTCACACTAGAACCGAAGTCCCGTAAAACCACTTGCCATCCTACCTCTTACTACACAGTTCCATCACCTATGCCAAACACTTCCCGATTTTTCAACCAATATTCTCTCATATTTAAGGCTCACTATCTCAGCAACTCTGTGCACCACAGTTATGTTGTGTATCTCCAGTTAGAAAAGCTGACAAGGGCAGCTCAAGTGGCTGAACGTCCTCACAGGCTGTACTGCCCCTCACAGAAGCTAACTGCTTGTTGATAAAAGTATAAACAACAAAAGCCCATAAACAGGCACTCACTCACTCACATGTAGCACCTCAATTAGTTCCCAAATGCCTTGAGGTTTTTTTAATTGTTTGTTTGGTTTTTTTTTTGTTTCTTTTTTAAATAAAAAAGCAAAATGGACTATCGGACAGGTTCCCCAGTCACAATATGCCAGCCACTTAAACCATTCTGAATGTGGTCTGAATTAAATATTTCATCTCATAGTTAGGCATGCTTTTTCAGTTTATGAAGAACAAACAAAGATACTTCTAAAATCAAAAGGTCTTTAATATACTCACTTTTTACTTGAAGTGTCATAGAGAATAATTCTTTTATCCAAACCTACAGTTACAAGCAGCAGCTTATTGACTGGAGAAAAGCAGATTTCTGAAGCTGGTGCTTTATGAGTATTTTCAAAATTATGATATGGGTTCTGGCTATTTACATCCCACAGAGTTACATTTCCACTGTCAGAAACACTGCCCAGCAAGGATTTCTTAAAGGATGAATATTTCAAGTGTCGAATAGGCTGTAAAACAGACATAAAAAATGAACTGTAATACGACTATTAAACACCATACTAAATTATTTTCTAAACACATAAGCACATTAGGAATACAGATGTTACATTATATTAAAGTAGTTTACAAAGGCTGGCCACTCTAAAAAATAAAAAGTAAAAAAATTATTCATTTCACATTACAAAGCCATTTTTGCTGTCAGGGGGGCAGACTTTTTTTTTTGTACCAGTATGGGGTACCATATGAGCTGATCAGCAAAAAAAAAGAAAACTTTTCTAGAAAAGTTTCTCGATTTTTCAGCAAGTAGCATGCCACCATACACACTAAAAACCAAAACAAAATAAAACACACCAACCAACAAACCTCACACCACATCTAAAATTAAAGTAATTAACAGATTTCACTGATCGGTCTCCTACCAAGAACATTAAACTTAATTCCCCTCCACTGATTTTAAGTACTTGGATACAAGTAAATTTGATAAGATGGTAAGATACACAGACTCCAGAGTTATGTAAGTATGAAGGTCCTGCAGCAGAAAAGACTTCACCCTGTGAGTTAGGGCCACAAAGGAGGCTAATATGCCTGGTTTACCACATGTAGCCTTGCTATCACAGAACCATGTAATACAGGAACTTAACTTGCCTTTCAGAAGCAGGTATTTTGTTTCCACCATGTTGCTTCAGCGGATGTTTCAGAACCTCACCGCTCTAATACTAAATTACAATACTCGACTTCCAGATTAATTTTATTTATGACCCATTTGCACCAATTCACTCATGTGACAATAATGCCCTCACACTTAAATTGTTTCCTAGCTCCCAGTTCTGCTTTTCCCTGTTTTAAACAGCCACCTCATCTTCTTCCAGGCTTTATTTTGCTATAAACAGTAAGCAAAACTCAATCTCCTAAGACTGGTTTTTCAGTATCATCACAGTCTCTCTGCAACTGTTCCTGTTTGAACATTTCTTGAATATGGACAACCCAAATCTTATGCAATCCTCAAAACATTTGATACTGCCTTTGCAAAGGCAGTAACACTTCCTGCATTTTGCACTGTGTTAATCCTGACATATCCTAGATTGCCTTTTCTTTTCTGTGATCCAGTCTGGTTTGGTTGCTCATTGCCATTTTGTGATCAAGAAGCCCAAGTCCTTCTTTCCCCTGGGAATTTTTAAAATCCTAGTCTAATAAGAAAAGCCTCAGCTGTGACCTAAGTCTGGTACCTTGACTTCTATACTGTCGTAGTTGTTCCCGTGTCTATTACTTAAATCACTTTTGGATGCTGACAAAATCCTCTCTCTTATAGGCAGTACCTTCCAACTGTGTCTCATCATAGCTCTACTTCTCGTACCACAGCCATTACTGAAAATATTAAACAAGATTAGCTACCGATAACCCAAACAAGTATTTTCTTTCAGTATTGTCTACTGCCTCTTTTCCTACGGCCAATTTCTTACCCATCCTCAATTCTTTTCTAACCTTCACCCTCTCTAGTCTTTTCTGACAAGGCACTGAATCAAGTGCTTTACTTGTGTCCAGACAGACAAGAGCCATTACATTTGTCTCAAAACGCTCTCAAAAAGCTATTACATTATTCTAGTATAGACCACACCACAATGCACTGTACTGGATTTTATCCTATTTCTCCCTAACTTCATTTTAATGCACATATGTGTTGGTTCATATGCCTCCAACATAATTTCTAGCACTTGTATTGTGCATCTCACTGGAAGTCTAACTGCTCCACAAAGAAGTGGCACCCTCGATTGCATATTCAAATAAGACAGAAGATGACTGTTTATAATTAATATGGTCCTCTACTGGACATGATGGGGACATTTTTATCAGCACTTTTATTTACATGAAAAAAAAAGGAAATATTGAGAGACTCAGGAATAACAGCTTCAATTACGTACGTGATCTACATGGGAAACATGCCTGTCCTTCACAGTTCTCTCAATTCACCTTTCCTTACTGCCCTAGCATCTGCTCATGTTCCATTTTCTCCCTCCTCTGTCCTCCTGCCCACCAAGACTACTGTCTCCTAGCTCTCCTCAAACTTCTCTTGCTATCTTGCCAAGTCTCCCATTTCCTTTTCTCATTTTTCCTTCTAATCTCATGGGCCCAAGGCAAATTCTCCAGTTTCTTTCTTATACAGAGCTTCCCCATATTACCTCTGCTCCTCACTTCTCACTGAAGTCACAGTGTTTCCTCAGAGCAGCTTAACAGTTTAATTTCAGGTTGCCGATGAAGCAGGCGTGAGGATGCCCCTATTCACTCCTCACTTTCACTGAATTAGGTTAGCAACAAACTTCACTTGCAACAACGCACTTGCTAGATCAGACTCAAGGAAGAGAGGTCCTTAAATTTGTGCAGACTTTTATGAGACAGTCAAATGCATCATACTGGCATCCCTGACAGTACACTACGTGTCCAAGTTTCAAACTCCTGCCCAGACAGCTGGAGGCACAAAAGAATCTCATTTCTGAAAGGCTGCTTGACAAGACAAAACCAAAACATTTCTCCTTCCAGAAGTGAGTCACTTAATTTGAGGATTTCTTAAAAAAATACTTTATCTGAGAAGCATCTGGGTGAAAAAATACAGCTTTAAGCTTAGCACAGTTAGAAACAGCAGACAACCAAGCCTCATATGGGAAAGCATCAAGTATTAAGATGCAGGTGGTCAAACTACATCACTTACAATAAGTCTTAGCTACATTTTCCTTATTTTTGACACCATCCATAATCAAAGCAAATTAAAAACTGTACTATATAATGATAATAGGCTTCATGAAGTAGCATTCTGTCTTTAAAATAGACTCAACACTACATGGATTTTTTTAACAAAACAAAAAAAAACATCATGCTATCCAGTGTTCACTGCAGTGAAGTTAAAAACACACATACAGAAACTATGAAAGTTGACAAAAATACACAGAAAAATATCTTTTTTTTGTGACCCAGTGCTGCAAGGAAACAGGACTCCTTGCACAGGAATAGAGGAACTATGACACTTGATCAGACATTCGAGCTATTTAGTCCTACATCGTATGTTATGAAAGTGTTTGATACTAAAGTTCTAAAAAAGGTAAAAGGGACCCCTCTCCACTCACCATAAGAGACAGATCCAGGATAATCTAATGCTAGGCATAAGTTTCTTTCAATTAGTGAAAACCAAAACTTATCTCCTTTACAGTATTCCTTTTGTTGCAATTCTCAAGCTACTTTTCCAACCTTCTCCCTCTGACTACATTTATTGCCAAAAGAGACGCTAAAGTAAAAAATCATCATGATCAGCTGTGTGCTCACAAACATTACCTTTTATGTCACTGAATTTAACGTTTTTGTTTAACACAATATAAAAGCATATGCAGGTTTTTTTTATTTTCTCCAATCTATTTTCTTTAGTTGCTTTCTTTTGTCTTTACTAGACTTCTTCCCTACTTCTAATCCCTCTGTACCTCTGCCAACCCTAATTCTGTAAACATTTTTGAGCTGTCACATATACTATTCTAGATCAGATTTTATCATCTATTTCTTATTTCAATACATGTTTCTTTATCTTACTACTTATACTTTCTAATGCCTTTGTTTATCTTAGGGACAAGAAATTAATACGTAGTCACCATCTTCACCGAACGGTCTTTAAAAAAAAATTTTGATTTTTGGATGGCATGATAAAGTCACACAGAACTTCCATACACTCCTAGAAAAGCTTTTCCTGAAGAAGCTGAACTTCATTTGTCATTTGGAGAGGGTCCAGAGGAGGGCCACGAAGATGATAAGAGGGCTGGAGCACCTTTCCTATGAGGACAGGCTGAAAGAGTTGGGGCTCTTCAGCCTGGAGAAGAGAAGGCTCCGGGGTGACCTTATAGCGGTCTTCCAGTACCTCAAGGGGGCCTACAAGAAAGATGGGGAGAGGCTGTTCAGGAGGGCCAGTTGTGATAGGACAAGGGGTAATGGTTTTAAAATAGAGGGAGGTAGATTCAGGTTGGATATTAGGAAAAAATTTTTTACCATGAGAGTTGTAGAACACTGGAACAGGTTGCCCAGAGAGGTGGTGGATGCTCCATCCCTGGAGACGTTCAAGGCCCGGTTGGATGAGGCCCTGAGCAACCTGATCTAGTTGGAGATATCCCTGTTCCTTGCAGGGGGGTTGGACTAGATGACCTTTGAAGGTCCCTTCCAGCCCTAACGATTCTATGATTCTATGATTCTATGATCTCCTCTCTCTTTTCCTGAGTTATGGTTTAGAAACAAGAGTTCTGTTACTTGGATTTTGAACACCAGGGCCTCCCACTCAGCCTAGCTGAAAACCACCACTGTACAGTTCCTTGACCTTTGTACTGCCAGCAATAGGAATCGTGAGCCTAAAAAGGGCATGCAACCCACAGGGTTTATATGGTTTAACTGCAAGGTTTACTAGTTACAAGAAAATATTAGTTAAGGATGTGGGAGACAAGTTAAACATTGGTGCTTTTCTGAAAAGGAGCCTAAGAATGTTTACAGATTACAATTTCATCCACAGAGCCAAATGGCAAAGCTGCGGGATATGTTTCAAAGGGACAAAGTCTGACTAGGCATGCCTAAGTACCTCATCTGAATTGAATCTAGGGGAATATTTTAAGATACTTGATTTACTTTAAGTCAGCATAGCTGTTCACTGGCTGAAACTCAAATGTCTGAATAGAAGTAGGAAGGGGGCACGTTTTCTAATTATTTTAGTTAGTAATACTAAAATAATTTCAAGATTATTAGGAACGATGCAGCTATTTGGAAAGAGTCATGTTTTGGAACTAACCTGTCAAAACTGTAAAAAAAAAAAAAAAAAAAAAAAAAAGAAAAGCAGACGACATGAAGCAAGTTTTGAAACTACATCTTAGTAAGTACCACTCCTGATGATTTCTGGAAACTCTGTCCCCACAGAACTACCAGAAACACATTTAGCACAAGGTACTGAACCCACAAAAGACAATTTAAGTCCTCTTTGGAACATTTTACCAGTCAGTGTCATACAAAAAGCTATATACATCTTTTTGCCTTAGCTGTGACTGGAAGTAGATTCGCCATAGAAAGTAAAAGTACATTTTATCTTTAAGCTTCACAGTAAGGCAGCCAAATGAGGAACAGTGCACTTTAGAAAACGGTTGGTCCATAGCTGAGAAGGGCTAGTTACACTTAGGAAACAAACAAAAAGCCCAAAACTAAACCAAAATTAGTCTAGCATCATTGATTACCTTATTTAAAGATAATATAGTTTCTTGATCACCTTTATACCTTAGTGAGCCTTCTAAGCAAGAAAGCGGATGTAAAGATAGTTGTGCAAAGTCTTCAGCTTTTAAAGCTATTTCACTATATGGAGTGACCAGAACTCATCACACTTCTTTACAGATCAGCCAGCTGTTCAAACAACTAAACTAAATCCTGTTGCTAGGAGAATAGCATCAGGCAGTGAAGACTTGAACAAACATTATGTTTCAAAACAAACCTTAATTCATCCTCACAACGGCAAGCAGATAAGAATCTGGTAGTCTAAATGAATACCAACAGCAAAGACAAATTATGGGATCTGCAAACAACTCTGTGCAAGAACTCAACTATAATAAGGCACAAAGGTGTTTCTAAATCAAAATCATTTAATAGAATATAGGCCAATACTCATACGAAAAGAAAATTGTTTAAAGTCACAGAAAGCACTGCAGCCTTGGGCTACTCTACTACTCGTAGTCTATACAATATCAGAAATTAACTGGCAAGGAAACCACATTCCATCATGCCGAATCGAACACTGAGAAGCTAAATTTTATAAGGTTAGTTTGACCTCACGTTCCTCAATCGTAAAAAAAGTTACTAGGGAGTGGTGACCCTTACTAAGCCAAACAGCTAGTGCCAGGATCAAGCAAGACAACACACTGTCTATCTATTCAAACTTACTCTTAGAAAACTGGGCCCCTAAACTATAAATCAAGTAAAAGCTTTTTTAATTTAACAGAATTACACAACTCTTCAGATATTTGCTTCATTGCACAATTAATCCTGCAATTCTCTACGAGTACGAACTAAGACCAAAAATAAAGGTATTTTTGCACATATAAAACAAGCTGATAAACAAGGACATCCAAGTAGTCATCCCATTACACAATTATAGCTCGATTCCATTTTAAATTAAGGCTGCAATCAAATAACTGCCCCCTTTAGAAAATGTTACAGGCCCTTTAGAAAGTAGTAGCTCTGTGCTTGCAATTACTTTGATTTAACACTTCAAGTATCCTTATCCATCTTAAAGGTCACTCAGCTTTGCAGTAGGCCTCCTGATTTCATCTGCCAAAACAGCTATTCACTGCATCACTTACTTAGCACTTTTTGGTGAAAAGAGTTGAATATATCAAACAGGTTGATGCAAAACATCCACATAAGAATTTCTTCATTTTCCAATTAACTAGCAGCATAGTTCCCACTCTGGATATTCACCTTGGCTGTGTAATCCAGCCATGGATTTCCCTGTAGCTCCTGCCTCACATTCACATTTTTCATAGGATCATAACGATCAAATGAGAAAAATGAGCTGACTACATAGATGGATTTTTAAGATCGAACCAAATATGAAGTACAATTTTGCTTCAATATAAATATGAGACTGGCGATGGATCAAAGACACTGCAGCACGTAAGAGCAGAGACAGTTTGAATTTAACTGAGATTTCTCAACAAAAAGTATACTACAATTCCCGTGATGCCATAAAGCCATAAGAGATTCTTCATCAAGTTATATTGCTCATGCTAGGCAGGAGAAAAATTTAACTTCACACTCTTATCTGCAATCTAGGACTGAAAAAGCTGTTGCAGTAACAGAAAACGAGTCAGTCACAACTTCAGTATCCCCCGCGACATTAAAGGTCAGGTTTAGGACCAAAGTAATGGTTCTGTATCCCCTAGGCAGCTCCTACCTCTATAAAAATGACTCAGTAAAAAATAAAAGAATGCCTAGAACACAAACACTTGGCTGTGCCTAAGACAACATTCACACTAAGAAGGCACACTGGAACCTCTGATGGAACAACACAGCTCATTTACTACTGTAAATGCCCTTATATCAAGGGAATTCCCCTAATGATCCCCGCTAATTCTCCAGTACCCTTCGAGTTTGCAAAAAGGAATTGCAGTGGAAAACCCCACCAAGGCCCTTAAGTAGTTTACAGGCTTTGTATTTGTCTTTTGAACAGTTTTCCTTCAAACCAGTTATCCAAAATCTTATCTAAACACCTAAGTAGGTAATACAAAAATCTCATTGCTTTTCTCTTTGAGCAGCTGTGCAATTTTAACCTCCAGATTAAATAAATTCATTATTTCCAAATGCAGGCTTATAGTCACCCCTACTGTACAGATGGCTCTGTTCAGTTGTAAATCTGATTACTCTGGGGAAGTCAGAACCCAGGCTACACGGCCATTTTTCTTTGTAACAATGTACATTGACTAGTGCATTGAAATCCTGCTTTAGTTTCTGAAGCCAACCATTTTTTGTTTAGTTATAAGATGTGTACGAGTTTGTTCTTGAGGAGCCAGAGTCTACAAAGTAAAGTTTGCTGTAACCAGTACGTAAGTAAAGATATTTGAGAAATTTGCATTTTAGTATTATCTATTATTTAAGACTAGAATACACACAATGGTCTGTTTTGTCCTGTCCATAAGCACACTCTTAAAAATTACAAGGAAATAGATTAACAAAACTTAAAAGCTCTTGATACGTACTTTCATTTTCTAAACACTGTGAATTAAAGCTTCATACCTGAAAGGAACTTAATAACAGATAGCCTACCTGACGGCTGCCATAACCAAAGGGAGTACTTGATAAATTGGTGGTAACACTGTGTAGGATAATTTCACCACTCAAAGATCCAGAAGCAACGTAGCAATCATTCCAATTATATGTGATACATGTCACTTCATCTTTATGATCCTGTGAGGGAGGGAGATTAGAGGGAGAGGTTTAAAGACATTCAGGATAACCATACTCCTTCCTAGTCTGTGCTTTTGCAGAACTTCAGCTTGATGTTTTTTTCTGACCCCCTGTAACATTTAAAAAGATTATTTAAGAATTATCACCGAAGATCCTAGAAAACAGCAGCAGAACATACAGAAGATCAACCACTCTCTTTTCACCACTGTCAGAAGATTGTTTTAATAAATTGTTAAAGACAATGCTGTAATTATATACAATATTTTAACAAGGCAACCATAGAGGTATCTACTCCAGGTGTCATGAAAGTTATTTTAAGAGTAAAGTCTTACAGAAACCAGTGATATTAGAATACACTCTGTTAATCTGATGTACTATTGTCAACTTCCCCTTCTGTCACTTTCAGTATTAAACACATATATTTATCAAATAGCTTTGCAGTATAGTCATTTGCAACAATGGTATTGTGTTTACTGAATATACAGAGGAAGACAATCAAGTACTATACAAACTGGGCACAGAGTGGGTTGAGAGTAGCCCTGAAGAGAAGGATTTGGGGGTGTTTATAGATGAGAAGCTCAACATGAGCTGGCAGTGCGCTCATGCGGCCCAGAAGGCCAACCGCATCCTGGGATGTATCAAGAGAAGCGTGGTCAGCAGGTCAAGAGAGGTGATTCTTCCCCTTTACTCTGCTCTTGTGAGACCCCACCTCGAATCAGTTCTGGTGTCCCCACCGTAAGAGAGACATAGATTTGTTGGAGCGCGTTCAGAGGAGGGCCACAAAGATGATCCAGGGGCTGAAGCACCTCTGCTACGAGGACAGGTTGCGGGAGCTGGGATTGTTCAGCCTTGAGAAGAGAGGACTTTGGGGGGACCTAATAGCTGCCTTCCAATACCTGAAGGGAACCTACAGGAAGGCTGGGGAGGGACTTTTTACAAGAGTGTCCACTGACAGGACAAGGGGAAATGGGTTTAAGTTGAAGGAGAACAGATTTAGATTAGATCTTAGGAAGAAATTCTTCAGTACGAGGGTGGTAAGACTTTGGAATAAATTGCCCAGAGAAGTTGTGGATGCCCCCTCCCTGGACGTGTTCAAGGCCAGGTTGGTCAGAGCCTTGAGTAGCCTGATCTAGCTGGGAGGCGTCCCTGCCCATGACAGGGAAGTTGGATTAGATGATCTCTGAGGTCCCTTCCAGCCTATGCCATTCTATGATACCACTAGCCCAAAAAGGAGAAAAAGATATTTCAAGCATTGTATTAGCTACTTAGTAATTTTGTTTCAAAGTGTAAAAGTACAAGGAGGGGAAAAAAAAAAAAAATAAAAATCAAAGCTAAAGTTCTGGTCCTAAACTAGGACAAATCATCTGCTGAAGGCATCATGGAAATACGCTAGACCATCCTAAGTTTTGTGCATTGTAAGAAGGCTTTAGAGAATTCATATTGGATCAGTTAGAAGACAACCGTGTCCCAGTTTTGCATAACATTATTTCCACCACAGTACTCTACAAATACGAAGTATTTTCTTGTTTGATATATCAGAAACAACAATTATCTGAAATGCTGCCCTTGGCAAAAATACCATCACAGAATACCAATACAAATTCTCAAAACAAGAAGCCTATTTTGAAAATTTAAACAAACATTATTATAGAATTGTAGTCTGAAGGCATCAAGTATGCTTGTGAATTAAATTTGCTATTTAGAGCACATAAAGAACAAACTTGAACAAGACACACGTATGCTAGCTCCTATCTGTGAACTTGATTCTACAGATACATGACTTAGAGAAAGAGGGGGTTTTTGGGTTGGTTTGGTTTTGTGTTTTTTTTTGTTTTTTGGTTTGTTTTTTTTTTTTACAGTTGGTAGCAAAACCATGAGTTTTTGTGAGTCATGAAAGCTACAGTTCTTCCTCAGTCAAACTTACCTTAAGGCTACGGTAAACCTTTCTGGATTTCAGGTCCCAGATATTAACTGTGTTATCAAGGCCTCCACTCACAATATACGAAGAACTAGAATTCAAGCTCACACACGTCTGTTTTGCCTGATGGAGAAGGGGGGAAAAAAAAAAAAAGTATGTTAAAGATAATTAAGGGATTCATTCAAATCTACTTAAAAGGATATTGACATGTGTTTTCATCTTCATTAACACAAATACTCCCACTGGCTGATGGAACTACCGCTACACTACAGTCGTTTTCCATCAAAAGGCATTTAAAATCCAGTTCAGTTTGGACATGTTTAATATACTTGAAAATTTAAATAATTAATAAAACTTAAATGCTCACATTTTCCCCATCCCCTTTTCAATTTTTTTAGCACCTTTTCCTTCAATATGCATTTTTCTTTAAATTATAGCTCTCTAAAGTACAATCATAGATTTCTATTCAGATACTGAGTTTTAAAAAGAAAACGCTAAGTTTAGAAAAAAACTACTTAAAAGAAAATCAAAAAGTTTTCTAAGTCATGTACTTCACATTCCCTAAACATTACAAGGAATATTATAGCAGCAAACCTCATAATTCCATAAAGTAATTCTTTTTAAAATAATCACTGATGTACCAGCTTTTGAAAAAAAAGTCAATCTTAAGGACAGACCTACATCAAGGCCAAATTATTATTCAGTTCTATCATGTTGAAAATTCACTTTTAAGTTCCTGAGATTTGATTTTAAAAAAAAACAAACAAGTCCATCTAATTATTGACATGGTAAAATTGGAAGTGATTGCATTAGTTATAGATCAGATTTAGTAAATCTCCAAGACAAACACTCCAGCTTTGAAAGCTTTGCTTCAGCAACCTAAAAGCCCAGTTTGAACACCTTTTCAGAAAATTTCCAGTCCAAATTAGCATTACAATAGCTATCCAAGGAGAATAATTAGAATGGTTTAGAACACTAACAAGTCATTCAAGTAACACTGTCAAGAGACTCTTCTAAAACTAATTCCAGCTTTCTGAAGAGTTTATAGTGCCACACTTCCATTTCACAGGGTAAAAAAGAACCCGGACCAGAACAGATATTCTCCTATTCCACGTATTTCCAGAAGCTAGCGCATGTACGCTCCAAGAACAACCTTTATCCAGACGCTCATGTTTTTCAATGTGCAAGTCACAGGCACGCAGAATACTGACCATTCAAGTTGGAAAATGAAGTTCAAACTTGAGCTCTGTTCCATCGCCCACACACTAGGTCAAGTTTGAACCCCTGACTGCCTCAGCCTGTCACACTGAGGCTCAGCAGGCAAATTTCCCTAGCGGAAAGCTATCAGCATCAGATGCTAGTATAACTGCATTTCTATTTTCTTACTAGTAGAACTATCTTAGAAGCACTATTCCCCCCACTTTTTGTATGTATTTAACTTTACAGAAGGAAATGTTTTTGCATACGTGTCATAACTGTAACAATACTAAAATTAAATTGATCCCAATATGCAGAACAGATGTGATACAGTACAGGAGTTGGAGCAGGGAAAAAAAACAGGGAACAGTATTAGTCATACTTACTCCTTCAGCTATTTCAAAGAGTGGAACAGGTTTGCTTTTACAGCTTGAAACAACTATTTTATCACCAGCAGCAGAAGCAGTGGCCAGGTATTTATCTTACTCACAAGTTACGGACCATAATTGTATTACACTGGTGATTAATAAAAGCAACAGTAAGTTCCCCTTACTGAACAGAAGACAGATTGGTTAAACAGTCTGAAGTAGTGCACCTTGAAGGGACCTAGAAATAGAAACATAAGGCTATTTTCCAAGCTTTCATTAAGAAGCTCTTGCATTAACTACAGCCCTTACTTCCCAATATAAGGCAGAGCAATTTCTTTCAGCAAGGAGAAATAGCTGGCAGATATTATTTAAGAGCTCTTTACCACTAAGGCAGCTTACCCAGTCTACAATTTTGCTTCTCCACCACCCCCAAGTAAGAGCCCCATTTAATCACTAGAGTTCAAGGGAATGTCTGTTGCTGTTAGTAGTCTGTGGATTTAAAGAACAGTCCTGTTCGTGACAAACATTAAAGCTACTTCACCATATTGTTTCTGGAGTACAATGAATGTTTCCTAATTTGTTTCCCTGTGTACTGAGGGAAGAAAAACAAAAACCCAAAAAGAACCTTTATGACACCAAGTAGCTCAAAGTAGTAAGAAAAGCCTTCAATATAGAACTACAGAGCAAGGAAATTGCCTCTGCACCCCCACCAAACTAATCGAGTAATCATTTAGATCTGTGTCCTGAATGTCTTCAGGCCAATATCCATGGTGATTTGATTTTATATTTGCATATTTAAGAATACAGATTAATTGCCTAGATTTAACACCAAAGAACTGGTAGGCATATTAGTGCTTGCTATTTCTTTCATTATTTTAAGGCAACATCTTAGCTTACAGAATTATGCAGAACAAAAACCAATGCTTTACCCAAAACAAACAAACATTCAAAAGCATATAGAGTAAGATACTTCATTGTTTCAGTTTTAGGGGATGAAGAGGAGACCAAGTACAAGAAAGCATGACAAGACAGACTGTCTATAGCTAAAGTTTATTAAACAACATACATGAGTACATATATACTAAAAAAAATATTATATCTATGCTTCGATTTCTTTGCCAGCTCCATAGCTAAAACATTCCTTTGTGCTCTGATTGTTTTAACTTTTTTCTCAAACATCCACTTATTTGCAGACTTAGAGGACAGACACATTCAGAACTTGCAGGACTTAACTGTTATGTGCCAGCATCCTGTCCTTCTTCTACACCAAGATCAGACATCGTCACCTTTTCCCGTGACAGCCATACAAGCTGTTCTCCTCACAGTCCACTGTTTTAATGAAATTTCTCATATATTCACCTAAAACCTGGCACCTCATATCATTATCCTATAATAGGCTTTCAAGACAGAAGTGAAATGTCTAAATGGGCCAGATCCATTTTCATGCATAAACCACCATGGATGTCTTCCTACACATCCAATGCGTTTGTGCTTCCATTGTGCGTGCTACAAACAGCACAAAGGAAAACTGCCTAGAGAGTAAGAGGCAAGTGTGCTCTATCAGGGACTATCAGAATCAATGAGAAGATGTTCAATGAAAAACAAACAACAAAAAATCTTTCAGTTTTCCTTTCTATGCTACCTATAGAACTTTACTACACTAGCTATTGCTTTGTTCAGCCTTGTCAGTAAATTAAGCACTGCTTTGAAAGTGAATATTGTACTCAACTATTGAAGAAGAAATTAGTATGCTTTACAGTCAGGAGGCAATTCAAGCGTATCATAATCATTAAAAGTGTTAGCAACCTAAAGGAAGAGAAACCTCTTCAGAAGCATTTCCCAGCATGAGTTTATTTTGTAAATCACTTCAACACAGAGAATCACCAAATTTTCTTCACAATACATACTAATCTTTTTATATAAGACTTCAAAACTGCATCTGGCCTGTGATTTACAGATATTTTAATACAAAGTTTCACTGAAATTTTGCAGAACACCCACAAAACTATAGCTGAAACGGTAAAGGATACTATTGCTGGACCAACATAGCGAGCTGACTGGATGTGAGGGTGTGTGTGGGTTGAACTGCTCCACCGCAGTTAGAGATGAAGAATCCCATATTTTAATGTCATCTCCTGATGAAGCAAAATGTATGCTTTCTTGCATGGCTGCACCTGTTTTTGCAAAAACAAAACCGAAAATATATATATAAAAAGTAAAAACACACAATAGGACACTTCACAAGTAAGAATAATTTTATCTGTGTCTTTTAATACTGCTTACTGGATAACAGGGATATTTATTTAGAGAATTACACAATTAGTACCACTGAAGCCAGTAGACACTCCACACTTTCGTTACTTAAATTCTTGCAGAAAATGTATGCTTTCCTTTCACAAAGGAAAAGCCATCCCCTCTATGGTATCAAGGGACTAAAGCGGCGCTCATATCCCCACCGAGTTTACAGCCACTAACACGAAGCCGCGACTATTTCAAGGGATCACTTCCCGCCAGTAGATGGAGATACACAAGCTCGAATCAACCGACTGTTGCAGAAGGCTGGAAGTTTGGACCTAAAGGACTGACTCCAGCGTTCATCTCACCATCCTACAGGAGACGACTGAGAAACCTTTAAACTAAACCTCTAACAGTAGAATACTGTTACGATGAATCACTTTTCAACGCAGCTTACACAACATTAAGAAACAAAACCAAAGAACAAGCACAACGTGCTGCCATTTGTTTCGACCGACACTGTTGCAAGACTTAAAACCGATTCCAGGTCTGCAGAGTTTAGTCGCAGCTTTTTACGCCGGGTAATTTTAAACTAGCAACAAACAACGACTCAAAAGAAGTAAGCCTTTCATTCACCTGAAAGCATAACCACCCTTTGACCAAAAGTTTCCGGGACGTTTCTACGTAGCTTTAGGCCACCAATTCCGGCTGCTGAGAATGTCTGAGACATCTGCTGACGAAAATAAGCCAGGAAACTCAAGGACTACAACCGCCTTCTCTCGGCCGTTGCCCACGGCATCAGCCCATGGCGCTG